CCCCCCCCCCCCCCCCAACACCAAAAAAAAAATCCAAAAATTAAAAAAAATAAAATAAAATAAAATCCCCAACCCCCAAATCTTCACAGTGGACTTGATTTTACCGAAGACAGGGAAAAAATTGAAATATCTAATACATGGGAACCTACAGAACTGTGAAAACGAAATCAACTTTGGACATCTAAGACTGGTGATAACCATAATCAGGTTGATGGATTTGAGCTACACTGTTCCATTAGAACCAGGGACTTATGACTAACTACTTCAACATAACCGGAAACAGGCAATTTTTGCTCAAGCTCTGCCTCCAAAAATAAGTTGTTCAGTTTCTATCTAAAGAGTACGTAGCACTACTATTTTCTAAAATATCTTGGCAATCCAGCATTTGATGGTATTCTGTTTGTTTTTCCACAAAGGCTATAATATGTTCAAATGCCCTATACACACAAACTGCTCTAGCAAGCCACCCCCAAGTTATCAAATTTCTTTAGGAGCTGGAGAAGAAGAGCTACATGAGCTTAACATTGTAACATGGTGTGACATCTTAATTTATGAAGAAACAGACTGAAGTAGAAAATTTCTCGGTGACAAGTTAAACCAATATCACAGCCATGGAATGCAAGACAATTGAGGGTGATCAGCCTCACAGTCTCCACAAAGGATAAACAAGAAAGAAAGAAACGATGGGGAAGGTTAACTGGTAATAAAGTTCTGCATTTGGAAGGCTCCTCAAAGGATAAACAAGAAAGAAAGAAACAATGGGGAAGGTTAATTGCTAATAAAGTTACACATTTGGCAGGTTGAAGCAAAAATGACAGAACTCTGCATCATACAGAAGGTTAACATCATCTATAAAATAGCCAATTCTTCAAAAAAAAAAGAAAAGAAAAGAAAAGAAAAAGGAACAGCATATAATTTTAGGATCCGACTTCCCAAACTTTGTTATCGCATGAATCAATCAGATATTCTCAAACTTCACTATATCTTAATACAAGTTCACTATTCCTGCAAATTAAGATAGATACCTCTCCAAAAGTAAATCTTCATACCTGTTTCTTAAAAAACAACTCCAACAAGTCATATGTGGCAGATGTGTCCAGCTTATTTACAATATGCAAAGCACGGGAAGTAGTGAAAGCATTGTCATGGTAGCTGCAGCTTTGAAAAATAAAATATTAAACATTCTTCAGGATGTCATTATGCCAAGATTCTAATCTTGACAACAATGGTAAACCAAATGCCATAATTAAACCAAATTGAAAGATTTATCCAATATAATTCAATTAAATTCGAAAAACTCTCATCAAAACAATTTGGGGTTGCTAAGTAATGCCTTCTTCTATCTAGCTATATCTAAGGTAGTATATCTAAAAAACCAATAAGATCTCATACTCTGAGCACTCATGATCATAAGGTGACTATAAGAAGTGAAACTCTCTACTTTCTCCTGGCTTAGGGTGAAAAATTAGACACCAGAAATTACGCAGGCAGAATTAGTTCGGATTAGAAACATAATTAAATTCAACTCAAAATACATTTTTCTCACACATCACTAAATGAAATTCATGAGCCACAGAAGATTTTAAAAAATAAAGAGGTACAATGCTGAAGATTTAATTTGAGGAGCAGTGCACATGAGTCTTGACCTCAATATAGAGATCCAGGAGTCCTACTTCCACAGAAATTCTCATCATGTTAATTAATTTTCCAACTGAGAAAAGGCTGAGTTCAGTAAGATTCATCTAACTCAATATAAAACAGAAAATGGGTCAAACATGTTAATACAGCCTTGATAACTATTACAATGTGATATGCATTTTAGAACATGGATGTATTTTTAATTTTGTTCAACCATCCTACAATAGTGACTGCATGTCTTTTAGTAGGAAAGAATACCAAATGAAGACTAGAATATGTAACTCTTCTTGTGCATGGAACACCTTAGCTCTAAGCACAATGGTAGTGATGGAAAGATGATAATACAAGATAAAATCTTGGAGTAATGGATGAACTCATCAAGTTTATTGACATACATCCTGAAAGATCACATTTTATGCATCACTACTAAGGCAAACAAGAAGGCTCAGAGTTTGTTAGACAGTGAATATGGATGGGAGGGCAAAAGAACTAACAATCTTCGAATAGAACATAAAACATACCACAATGTTGTGCTATAAAAGATAAATAAGTCAATAGATGATATGGTGATGTTATCTCAACAAAGTAAACTTAGCATGCTTTTGTACATTCTTAGTCTTAAAGAAGTGCACAATTACACGTAATGCTAAAAGAATTTACAAAATAGACTCACATTTTAAGTACACAGATATTGCATGTAATGATAAAACTTTGGTATATGAAATGAGACCCATCAAGTTCGACATCATATGGGCAAGTCAATTGTCTCATCTATTGAGTTGAAAATGTGAATCCATTTTGTGAGGTTGTAAGCATTTTCCTAACAAATAGGAATTGGAATAAGGAATCACAATAAGATGTCTACAAGGAATCAGAATAAGAAACATGGAACTGCATACTGGTCAAAACATGGTTATCAAAGTACATGATGGCAGATAAACAGGTAAAACAAAACTATACTGTATCATCAAGCAATAACCCGGAAACCAAAAATCCTCTTCAACTTGCCAAAGTAAATCTAACTGATGATAAAACCAGAAATACTACAAATGGGAGACCAGGGTTTGCCTAGCCAAAGAAAAACTGTAATCAAGAACAACACCTCATTTATATTTTTAAGCTTATTATCTAATTCAGCACAAATATCCATATATTACTAATGGGCTGTTCAACAAACATTATGGTCTTCATAAAAAAAAATTTGTGGAAAATCCAATTTTTAGTATAATCCCTGAAAAAATAGGCAAGTAATGGGAAAGATTGACGATGATTTGGTTGATCAGAAAATTAGGGACATAAAAAAAAAAGGATCACAAAATCCAAATTCCAAGGCTTGGATTTGCTACTTTTCCCTAAATTTTGAAAGCAAACAAAAACGAATAATCATTTAAGTTTGAGGAAAATTACTGACGGTAAAGGGAAGGGATGGACGATAAGAGAAACAAGAGGGCCGTAGTGATCAAGAGCTTGTTTGAGAGGAGGCCAAGAGTCCCTGCTGTCCGGGCAGACCGGATCAAAGAAGGCTTCGATCATGATCGAATCAGTGGTCGCGGAGCGGTTCTTATAAATGAAGCCATCGTACTTGGCCGGAATCGACATTTGTGCATGAACGATCCGATCAAAGAAGAAGAAGAAGCAGAAAAGAGCTGATAAAGCTATCAGACTAGTATACTTTGAGCTCGCCATAAGTGCTGCTTCTTTTCTTTCTTCTGATTACTGTGAGCCGTATGTGGTGTTGGGCGATAAAAAGCTAAGGTAAGACATGAGAGTGATGGGAGAGAGGAATGACCTTAAAAATTGAGGATTGACCTCCCACTGCCACATAAGCAGACGACAATGAACACGAAGAAGGGAGAATTATATTTATATCCCGAAAGATTTAAAAATATTTTAATTTATATTTTTAAAATATAAATTTTTTGTATTACACTTTTAATATAATGTTGAAATACGACCCTCTTTTTAGATTCATTTAGTGTTAAAGTAAAGGTTTTTGATGAAAAAAATAACAGAAGGACCTACATTATAATACTTAGAGCACATTAAGGGTATAATACAAAATTTTTATTTTTAAAGGAATAAAATAAAAAAATTTAAATCTATTAGGGTACAAAGTATAATTCGCAAAAAAAATAATAATTAAAACAATGCCGTGCAAACCACATTAAAATACATTTTTCAGGCCCCACACAATGAGCATTGTTTTAGTTTGGCCATAATCTTTTAATTTTGTCAATCTAATCTCCCAATTTTTTAATATGCGTCACTTAGATCCATCAAAAATGACAATTAAAATTTAGACATAGTCACGTGCATCTCACATGATCACATTTGAGACACAGTTTTAGAGATTAAAATGACACAAATTATAAACTGTGTATGATCAAAATAATACAAGTTATAAAGTTTTGAGAGAGGTATCAAAGTGACCCTTCAAGCGACAATCTTCGTTAATCAATTTAAACCGTTATTTTTTATTAGATTAAACTGACACGTTAAAAAATTGAAGGACTAGATTTATATAATTCAAATATTAGAGATTAAACCGACACAAAACAATATATTTTATCCTCAAAAAAATACATTCTAAATCATTGTCATGGCAACTGCAGCTTCGAAAAGTAAAATATTAGGAATTCACGAGCCATGGGAGATTTTAAAAAATAAAGACGGAGCAGTGCACATTGGTCATGACCTCAATACAGAGATCCAGAAGCCTTACTTCCACTGAAATTCTCATCATGTCAATTAATTTCCCAACTGACAAAAGGCTGAGTTCATGAATATTCATCTAACTCAATACAAAACAGAAAATGGGTTTAGAACATGGATGTATTTGTAATTTTGTTCAACCATCCTACAATAGTGAACTGCATGTCTTTTAGCAGGAAAGAACACCAAATGAAGACTAGAATATGTAACTCTTCTTGTGCACAGAACACCTTAGCTCTGACCACGATGGTAGTGATGCAAAGATGATAATACAAGATAAAATCTTGGAGTTATGGATGAACTCTTCAAGTTTATTGATATACATCCTGAAAGATCACATTTTATGCATCACTACTAAGACAAACAAGAAGGCTCAGCGTTTGGTAGACAGTGAATATAGATGGCAGATAAACAGGTAAAACAAAACTATACTGTATCATCAAGCAATAACCCAGAAACCAAAAATCCCCTTCAACTTGCCAAAGTAAATCTAACTGATGACAAAACCAGAAATAATACAAATAGGAGACAAGGGTTTGCCTAGCAAAAAGAAAAATTGTAATCAAGCACAACACCACATTTATATTTGGGTTAATCTCATTTTGTACATCGAAAGATTGTTCGAATCTCAATTTGCACCCTCAAAGATCAAAAATCTTAATTTACACCCTCAAAGATAGAAATTTGTATCAATGTGCACCCCCAAAGATCAAAAATCTCAATTTGCACCCTCAAAGATAGAAATTTGTATCAATGTGCATCCCCAAAGATAAAAAATCTCAATTTGCACTTTCAAAGATAGAAATTTGTATCAATGTGCACCTAAAATTAAATTAATAAATTATACCTTAATCCCCTCATGTTTGTCACTTAATCATTTGAACTCCTTCACATTTAGAATATTCCCCTTACATCTCATGACGTTTATGCATGTGTAACACATAACCACTTTTCGTTGATATATATTAATATAATCGTTAAAAAATATGATTTTATCCTAATATAAAATTATAATTTTATATTACCTTTTATTTTGTGGATTCGATATACTCTAAAGTTAAAAATCAAGCTTACCATTTGAATGTCTAATAAAATGTAGATATTTATATAAAAGGTAATATGAAAAATATTATATAAATATTTATATTTTATTAGACATTCAAATGGTAAACTAGATTTTGAACTTTATAGTATATTGAACCTATAAAATAAAGGGTAATATGAAATTATAATTTTTTATTAGGATAAAATTATATTTTTTAACGGTTATATTAATAGATATCAATGAAAATGGGTTACGTGTTATACGTGCACAAATGTCATAAGATGTAGGAGTAATATTCTAAATGTGAAGAGGTCTAAATGATTAACTGACAAATATGAGGGGATTTAGGTATAATTTATCAATTTAATTTTAGGTGCACATTGATACAAATTTCTATCTTTGAGGGTGCAAATTGAGATTTTTGATCTTTAGGGGTGCATATTGATACAAATTTCTATCTTTGAGGGTGTAAATTAAAATTTTTGATCTTTGAAGGTATAAATTAAAATTCGAACAATCTTTCGGAGTGCAAAATGAGATTAACCCTTTATATTTTTAAGCTTATTATCTAATTCAGCACATTATGGCCTTCAAAAAAAAATTTGTGGAAAATCCAATTTTTATTATAATCCCTGAAAAAATCAGGCAAGTAATGCGAAAGATTGACGATGATTTGGTTGATTAGAAAATTAGGGACATAAAAATAAAAAATAAAAAAAAAGAATCACAAAATCCAAATACCAAGGATTGGATTTTACTACTTTTTCCTAAATTTTGATAGCAAACAAAATCGAATAATTATTTAAGTTTGAGGAAAATTACTGACGGTAAAGGGAAGGGGTGGACGATATGAGAAACGAGAGGACCGTAGTGATCAAGAGCTCGTTTGAGAGGAGGCCAAGAGTCCCTGCTGTCTGGGCAGACGGGATCAAAGAAGGCTTCGATCATGACCGAATTAGTGGTGGCGAGGCGGTTCTTGTAAGGGAAGCCATCGTACTTGGCTGGAATCTAAATTTGTGCATGAACGATCCGATCGAAGAAGAAGAAGAAGAAGGAGAAGAGAGCTGCTAAAGTTATCAGCCTAGTGTACATTGGGCTCGCCATTAGTGTTGGTTCTTTTCTTTCTTCTGATTACTGTGAGCAGCGCTGTTCGTATGTGGTGTTGGGCTATAAAAAGCTGAGATAAGACATGAGAGTGATGAGAGAGGGGAATAACCTTAAAGCAGACGACAATGAACATGAAAAAAAAAAAAAAAAAAAGGGGAAATCGTATTTTGTAACTAAAAGATTTAAGAATTTTTATTTTATATTTTTAAAGTATAAATTTTTTAAATTATATTAAAAATATTAAAACATGACCCTTTTTTTAGATTTCATTATTTTTTCCGTTAGTATTAATAGGGAAGTTTTGAATAGAAAAAATAACAGAAATCAACATAAGGATAAAATAAATTTTTTAAAATCTTTTGGGGTACAAAGTACAATTCAGCAAAAAAAAAAAAACAGAGTAAAAACAATGCTGTGAAAACCACATTAAAATACACTTCTGGCCCCCCAAACAATGCACTTTGTCTTAGTTTGGTTAATAATCTTTTAATTTTGTCAATTTAGTCTCTCAATTTTTTAATTTGTGTCCATTTGGTCCAATTGAAAATGACATTTAAAATTTAGAGATAGTCACGTGCTTCTCACATGATCACATTTGAAATACATTATCAAACTTTAGAGAATAAGTGATACAAATTATAAACTTTGTAGGACCAAAATGATTTAAGTTAAAATTTTGAGGGATCAAAGTGACCCTTCAAGTGTGGTCGTTTGAACATCTCCTTTAATCAATTTAAATTATTATTTTTTATTGGATGACACACATTAAAAAATTGAAAGACTATTTTAATTTGTAAAATATTGAATATATTTTTATATGATTTTCTAAGTCGACGACATCCAGATACTAACAAGTTTTAATTATAAACTTGTCCCGTTATACTTAAATATAGGTAAAAAAATAATTAGATAACTCTTAACTAAATTTTTATCCAAATTTTGATCAAAGAATTATCCAAATTATACCGTTTTGATCATAAATTATCTAAATTTTGGTCAAAAACTATTCAAATTATTTTTTATCCATATTTAGATATTACGTGATAAATTTATAATAAAAAAATATTAATAATTTAGATGTTATCTATTTAAGCGATTACATACAAAAATATATCCAATAGCTTAAGAACTAAAATTTTATAATTAAAATATTAAAAATTAAAATAAGACAAACTTAAAACTTTGGACTTCTAATATAATTAACCTATTTTACAAACATACACCTTCAAAAAGTTATGCACGTTCCCGTTCTGGGAGGTAAGATACTAAAATGAGGGAGAGCAAGAAGCCATGACAAGCCATGCTCTCCATCTATTCGACGGTTTCAACCACAACATTCTCAGGTATCTCAACTCAACCACAACTTCTCTCTCACAAGCACGACAAGCTCATGCCCAGATTCTCAAGACCGGCTTGTCCAACGAAAACCATCACACCACTAAGCTTCTCTCACTATACGCCAACCACCAACATTTCGACGACGCCAATCTCATCCTCGATTCAATCCCTGAACCCGATGTTCTCTCTTTCTCCCCTCTCATTGTCGCTTATTCAAAATTCAATCTTTTTAATGACTCCCTTTGTTTATTTTCGCGAATGCTCTCCCAAGGCCTCGTGCCTGATCATCACGTTCTTCCCACTACTGTCAAGGCTTGCGCTGGACTGTCGGCCCTCAAAGTCGGGCAACAAGTCCATGGCTTTGCTTCAACATCTGGGCTTGGTTTAGATTCGTTTGTTCAATCCTCTTTGGTTCATATGTATGTTAAATGCAACCAACTAGATGATGCCCATAAACTGTTAGATACAATGCCAGAACCAAATTTGGTTTCTTGGAGTGCTTTGATTGCGGGTTATGCTCGACAAGGGCAGGTAATTAAGGCAAAGGAGGTGTTTGATGAGATGAGGAAATTAGGACTCCAACCTAATTTAGTGTCATGGAGTGGCATGATTTCGGGATTTAACCAGAGTGGACATCATTTGGAGGCTGTTTTGATGCTCAAGCAAATGCATTTGCTAGGTTTTAAGCCTGATGGGACTAGTATTTCTAGTGTTCTTCCTGCAATTGGGGACTCTGAGGTCTTCGAAATGGGTATTCAAATTCATGGGTATGTTATCAAACAGGGTTTTGGATTGGATAACTGCGTTGTCAGTGCACTCGTAGATATGTATGGCAAGTTTGCTTGCACATCAGAGATGTCACAAGTGTTTGATGAAGTGGAGCAGAAGGATTTAGGTGCTTGCAATGCCTTGGTTGCTGGGATGTCACGAAATGTTCTCCCTGATGAAGCGTTGAGGATATTCAAGCAGTTCCAAGGTCAAGGGATGGAGTTGAATGTTGTGTCTTGGACTTCAATGATTGCTTGTTGTTCGCAACATGGTAAAGATATCGAGGCTTTGGAGCTTTTCCGAGAGATGCAGATGGTTGGAGTGAAGCCGAATTCTGTTACCATACCTTGCTTGCTTCCAGCTTGTGGCAATATTGCGGCATTGATGCATGGGAAGGCAGCCCACTGCTTCTCTCTCAGAAGGGAGATATCTAATGATGTTTATGTAGGTAGTGCACTAATTGATATGTATGGCAACTGTGGAAGGATCCAAGCAGCTCGTTTTTGTTTTGATGCAATGCCTACTCGTAATTTAGTTTGTTGGAATGCAATGATGGGTGGATATGCAACACAAGGAAAGGCTAGGGACGCTATTGAGATCTTTCATTTGATGCTGATGAGTGGGCAGAGGCCCGACTTTGTAAGTTTCACTAGCCTATTATCTGCATGTAGCCAAAGCGGTCTCACAGAAGAAGGGAAGAATTACTTTAATAGCATGTCCAGAGAGCATGGAATTGAAGCTAGAGTGGAGCATTATGCTTGTATGGTGACCCTTCTTGGTCGTGCTGGAAAGCTTGAAGAGGCTTATTCTATGATCAAGGATATGCCTTTCGAGCCAGATGGTTGCGTTTGGGGAGCCTTACTTAGTGCTTGTAGAGTTCACCATAATATGAGTTTGGGTGAGGTTGCTGCTTATAAACTATTTGAATTAGAACCAAGAAATCCTGGGAACTATATTCTTCTGTCCAATATATATGCCTCTAAAGGCAAATGGGATGAAGTAGACAAAGTAAGGGATCTGATGAAGTGTATGGGGTTGAAGAAGAACCCTGGATGCAGTTGGATTGAGGTCAAGAACAAGGTCCACATGCTTTTAGCAGGAGATAAATCACATCCGCAAATGGCCCAAGTTATTGAAAAGTTGGATGAATTGAGCATGGAAATGAAGAAATCAGGTTATGTTCCAGTTACTGATTTTGTGCTGCAAGATGTGGAAGAGCAGGACAAGGAGCATATTTTGTGTGGGCATAGTGAGAAGTTGGCAGTAGTTTTAGGGCTTCTGAATACCCCCTCTGGATCTTCGCTCCGAGTTCTGAAGAACCTTAGGATTTGCGGGGACTGCCATGCCGTTATTAAATTTATATCCAGAAGTGAAGGGAGAGAAATTTTGGTCAGAGACACAAATAGGTTTCATCACTTCAGAGATGGGGTGTGTTCATGTGGTGATTATTGGTGATTGAATGTGTTGTACTGAGAAAGGATACTAGTGTGCAGATTAAGGAAATTGGATATCTGATTGAGCATTGCAGCACACAGGATGGATATCCAGAGAAATTCATTTCTGGCGAACTTTGAAGCGAGAACTCAACTCTCCCCTCAGATGAAAGGGAAAGATCTTTCATTGGTTCCTCACAGGTTAGAAACCTAAAGTGGTAATACAACTACGCCCAAAAAGCTTGTGTGTCATGTTGAATTCACACATTTTTCACTCTTGTTCAACAGCCACAAACTAAGGGAATGTTGGTCCAAAGCTTTCATTTACTAAACAGAAGTTTTAAGTGCTGTCTTCGCATGACCAACAATATCTAAGTAAAGAAGCATACTTTATCCTCGTATCTCCTTTTAAAAAATTGTGTTTAGAGTGAAAGACATTGTCTTCTGGTATCCCATTTTTATCTTGTTTTAGTTTCTTTATCCTTGGGATTACCTCTTTTAATCGAGGGCCAGATTTTTTTTTCTTCCTTTTCTGTTTGCATTTTAATTTCAGGAATGCTCGTGCGCTGTAGCCACTGTTGCAAATTGCAGCGTTCCTGATTCTGTGCCACGTCTTTCTAGCATCAATGCCAGATGGGGTATTTTTAATGACAAATTGAACAGTTGGAGTTGTTCTTATGTTTCTGACAACCAGGGTTGATACTGGGGTTGGGAAATTCTAGTGGCAACGGCTGGATTGGCTGCATGAAAATGGGTATCGATTTTCATTTTCTTCACTCAAGGTAGGCTAAAAATGGGTGAGACCGACCACTGGCTCTTCCTTCGTCCTAAGAAGTACAAGCAAAGCATTAGAGTAAGATTTTCTCCGATATGCTATTTCCTTGTTTCTTTCAATTGTAAATCATCTATTCATTGAATTCGTGTAAGGATTACTATTTATAAGTGGACCCTTCGTTTATACACGATTATTGCTTACACTGAGAACATTTGAAAATAAAAATTGTATTTTAAGTATCTAGATCCTACGCCATGCAGCAAAATATCTCTACTAGTCTGTTGGGTTTTTGCGTACTGTTTTTTGCTTTCTTGGATACCAGGGGCTTTTACTGCTTCAAAGCAGTGTACGTGAATAGTGTGCGTTAAACAATCTAATAAAAGAGAAATACAAGAGATAAGAAAAGAGGAGGCTAGGATTTTATTGATACTGCATAATTCAATTGAATACAAAGAAGTGATTTAACCTAAATATAAAGAGACTATATATATGTTAAATAAAGAGAAAATAAAGGACTATTCTACCATTAATAAACAAAATAACTAATAACCCTATATTTCTTAACATCTCTCCTCAAACTCACGATGCGACAGCTACAAGCATCCAGAGTTTGTCTAACTAGAAAACGAAAACGGGAAATAGAATGCAACTTGGTAAACAAATCTACAATCTACAAAGAAGAAGAAATAAATGGCAAAGTAATGGTGTCATGCTTGAAATAATGACGAGTAAGGTGACAATCGATTTCAACGTGCTTAGTTCGTTTATGAAAAATCGAGTTGTGAGCAATCTAAATAGAACTCTGGTTGTCACAATACATAGGAGTGGGATAAGAAAGAGAAAACTCTCATATCTGCAAGTAACCAACGTAACCAAACAATCTCTTTGCTAGCAGATGTCATAACACGATATTCTGCTTCGGTTGAAGATTGAGAAACAATAGATTGTTTCTTGCTTTTCCAAGAAATAAGAGAATCACCCAAAAAGATACAGAAACCAGTAACAAACTTGCGATCTGTGGGATCACTGTCATGATCAGCATCAAAGTATGCACATAGCTCCAAGGAAGAGGTGGATGGAAATAAAAGACTCTGAAAGACTGTATCCCGAAGATACTGCAAAATACGAAAAACAGCTGCTCAATGAACTGTAGTAAAAGAAACAATAAACTGACTAATAACATGAACAGTATATGCCATATCTGGACGAGTAATAGTGAGATATACCAAGCTCTCAATAATAGTACGGTATAAAATAGGATCTGACAAAGGTAAATCATCAGAAGAAAAATACTTTGCATTAATCTCAATGGGAGTATCTACGGTCTTATTATCAGTAAGTCTAGCTCGCTCAAGAATATTTGCAACATATTTCGACTAAAAAAGAAGATAACCTTTAGGTGAGCAGGCTACCTCAATACCCAAGAAATATCGTACAGAACCCAAATCCTTCATTTCAAACTGTCTACCTAACTCTGTCTTCAAAACTGAAATACCGTCAATATCATCACCAATAATAATCATATCATCAACATTATAAAGACAGAATGTTATGACCTACATCAGTGCACTTAACAAAAAGAGCAGAATCATGACTGCTAGAAGCAAATCCAAGGGAAGAGAGCACAACAGAAAATTTCTCAAACCAAGCACGATGTGCTTGTTTAAGACCATATAACGCTTTCTTGAGCTTGCAAACATTCCCAGAATCATGTGAAATACCAGGAGGGGGCGCCATATAAACTTCTTCTTGAAGATCTCCATTCAAGAAGGCATTTTTAACATCAAGTTGAGAGATATGCTACTGATGATCCGAAGCAACTGCAATAAGAGTACAAATAGTAGTCATTTTTGCAACAAGAGTAAATGTCTCCTCATAATCCATACCATACTATTGAGAGTACCCTTTTGCAACCAACCTAGTTTTATATCGCTTAACAGATCCATCAGAATTAGTCTTGATCTTATATATCCAACGACAACCAACAACACTCTTACTAAGAGGTAGAGGAACCAAATCTCAAATACCTGTCTTTTGCAAAGCAGAAAATTCTTCATCCATAGCTTGCTGCCAAAGAGGATCAAGAATTGCCTCTTTATAGGAAGAGGGCTCAGAGAGACAATGAATAGAAGCTAAAAAGGAAGTAAAAGATGAAGAATAACAAGAATAAGTAAAATCTGGTAAGTTTGTGGACTTACGAATGCGTATGGATTGACGTAGAGGTGGATCCACAATCTCAGATGGAGCTTGAGGGACCATAGGAGAAGAGGTAGCTTCAGGTGTGCCAGAGAGTAAAGTGTCAGTACCTGCAGAATGATCAGTACGAATTGGTCGAATATAATGTAAAGGTAACGGGGTAAGAACATGAGAATGAGTATTTGAAGTACTAGAAACCTAAGATAACAAACTATCAGAATCCTCAGAAAAAATATCTATACGAATAAGATTAGATCTAGTCAAGCTATGAGTAGTGGATGAAATAGAAAAGAAATGTATATTCTCAAGAAAAACAACATGACGATACACATAAAGTTTCTAAGTTATTGGATCATAACAACGATACCCTTTTTTACCTTCACCATAACCAAGAAAGACACAAATGGCAGATCGAGAGGACAACTTGCTGCGTTCAACATGAGGACGAATAACGAAACAAGTACAACCAAAAACTCCAAAGGAAGAATAATCAGGGGCATACCCATACAACTTTTCGAAAGGAGAAACACCTGAAATATGAGAAGATAAAATTGTATTAATCAAACTTACAGCAGTAAGAACAGCTTTACCCCAAAACTCACTAGGAACAGAAATAGACAACAAGAGAGAACGAGCAGTTTTAACAATGTGCCTATGTTTTCTTTCAGTAACACCATTTTGCTCAGGAGTATCTGTACACGAAGTTTAGTGAATAGTTCCATCTAAGACAAGTAACTCATCAAATTTATTAGAAGTGTATTCCCCACCCAAATCACACCTAAAACATTTGATAACAACAGAATGTTGAGTTTTGACAAGAGCTCGAAAAGTTGTATATATCTCAAAGAATTTAGAACGATGTTTTATTAAATAAATTCAACAATAACACGTATTATCATCAATAAAAGAAACATAATATCGAGACCCTCCTTTTGTGGCAACAGGAGAAGGTCCCCATATATTAGAATGAATCAAATCAAATGGAGAAGAAAAAACAGAAATATTTTGATTAAAAGGTAAAGCTAAAAATTTTACCAGTTTATATCCACTATAATCAGAAATATCACAAGTTTACAAATTTCTTAAAGCCCCTGTGGATGCCAAAAATATCAAATGAGACGACGAAACATGACCTAGACGAGAATGTCATAAATAAAAACTAGAAGAAGAAGGACTCAAACAAAAAGAAGATAAATCAACACTAGTAGTAGTAGCAGTGGCAGCAACTGACACTTTTAACTCATCCAAAATATATAGTCCCCCCTTCATACAGCCTGTCCCAATCAGCTTCTGAGACTGCAGATCCTGCACATAACAAGAAGAAGAGGAAAAGGTGACTAAATTACTAGAATCACATAACTGATCAACAGAAGCAAGATTTAATGTGAGTTTCGAAATATGATAAACATTAGAGAGAGACAAGTGAGGTGTGACAACAGAACCAACACTTGCGAAAGGCATAGGAGTGTCATCAGTAGTCATAACAGGAATAGAAGATGAAGGAGATACAGAAGCAAAAGATGAAGAATTTGGAGACATATAATGTGAAGCACCAGAATCCAAGACCCATACAGAATGTGACATACTTGAAAAACTATGAGGCAACTGACCTACGGAAGAAGAAGCAGACATAGCTTGTGGTTGTAAGGAGAGAAACTTCTGAAATTGCTCAGCCAAAGTACTATAATTAGTGAAAGGACTTGATGAAGCCACTGCTGCAGTATTTGGCTGTGGTGGTTTGTAACCTTGAGGTGGTTTATGAGCATTAGATTGTGACTGATTGCCAGGCTTCCAAGCTTGAGATTGCTGCTGCGATTGATTTTGCTATCTTAATTTAGGACATTAAGTCTTCCAATGACCTTTCTGCTTATAAAAATTGCACTCGTCGAAGGTAGTCCTTGTGTAAGGCTTATTCTGATTATTAGAGAATAGTTTAGAAGGTACTGCTAGTACAGAAGGATTAGAAGTAGAAAGAATTCCTTTTTCAGAATAAGACTTAAAGCATATTTCTTCAGCCAATAACTCATTGACAACTGAGTCAACAGAAGGAAGTGGAGAACGATAGAAAATTGAACCTCGAAGTCCATCAAAATCACTACAAAGTGTCGTTAAAAACTGTACCAACCATTGCTGCTCTCTACGAGCAATATAGGCACCACATGCCTTTAATTCGGCCGATTCTGTAAGAGTCAATTGATCCCAAAGATCTGTCATAGCAGAATAAAATTTCTGAATACTCATATTCTTCTACTGAAGAGCTCGTATGTCATTCTCCAATTGATACTGCTTTGCAAAATTTGATTGAGTGAATAACCTTTGCAGATAATCTCAAACCTCCTTTGCTGTCTCATACTATGCCAGCTGTGTACCTATAGAATGCTCAACAGAATTGTTAATCCAAGTAATAATTTTTGCAGTGTCTACTTCTCATGCATCTATTAAAGCAGTATAACCCGCATTAGTATTCTTAGGTTTCACAGAAGTTCCACTAACATATCCCCACATCTTTTTACCCTTAAGAAAAATTTTCATCACATAGCTCCAATACGAATAATTCTTTCCATCCAACCTCACACTCACAGACTAAAACAAATCGTTTCTTTCAGTAGCCATAATCAAAAAACAAAGAAAATCAGATTGCAAAAACAGAACGAATGCCTTGTCCCATGAAACTTTGCTCTGATACCATGTTAAACAATCTAATGATACCATGTTAAACAATCTAATAAAAGAGAAATACAAGAGATAAGAAAAGAGGAAGTTAGAGTTTTATTGATACTGCATAATTCAATTGAATATAAATAAGTGATTTAACCTAAATACAAAGAGACTATATATAGGCTAAACAAAGAGAAAGTAAATGACTATTTTACCCTTAATAAACAAAATAACCAATAACCCTATATTTTTTAACAGTGTGATCTTTAACAATAATATCACCTTTAGATCAAAAGAGAAAAAGAAACACTTCTTTGAATTAATGGGGAACATAACTCAACGCATCTTTAATGGTTTTAACTATGCAAACAGACATATATACAGTGCAAACCAAAACCACGAGGAAACAAAAGTCTCTCATAGCAAACAAAAGTTTCGATGTGGATGATCTGTCTTTAACTAGACTGATGAGAGGATTAGTTAAGAGATGTGTAAGCTGACTTGAACACCATTAATCATTGAAAAAAAATATATCAAATATTTTAATGGAATTAACTAAACCCACCCTTTCCCCCATGGATAAGTAAAAATTTGATTTAATTTATTGATTTAATGATATTATTTTATTATAACTGGTGAATTAATACCAAATTTTAATGTTTAATAGGATCGATAATTAATTTAATAATTATAATAAATTAAATTAGATAACAATGTTACATGAATTTCAATCCATTATTCATTGTGGGTGGAGATTCATTAACATGCATATACATGAACATTGCACTACAACTACCGATGGCAACTAATTGGGGAAGAACAGGTATTCGTTCAAATCCGTCCCGTTTGGATCGAGAATGGACTATACGTATTGGACGATGGACGTATACGGGGATACCCGTGTAAACCCGTGCAAGGATGAAGGCAGGGATGAACTTACTCTTATCCCTACCCCGCCCTGCCCCGTTCTCATCCTCGTCCCCGTTACCTGTTATATATATATATATACTCAAATAGGTAATATACATTACCATAGGTAATAAGTGCAAACATTAGCAACAATTCTTAACTTCATTGAACAATATGGATAATATCAGGCTTCTTAAAATTAATAAAGAGTCCATAAAAAATTAAAAAGAAAAAAAAAGCCAAAAAAATGGTTATGAGCCATCACAACAAAAATTTAAATCCATTTGTATTTTTGGTACGACTTCCGTGTTGCAATTGCCATTCGAGCAACATGCACACAACTACTTATCACAATTCTTTACTCCATTGGTTCTACTAGATAATTGACTTGTAGCAAGTTTAGATATCTATGACTGGTAATTGATTACGTGTCATCAATCCTCTAAGAAACAGATTATTGAAATAAAAATGCAAAAAAAAATGATAAGTTAAGAAACTAAAATTCCAAGATTTATGACATTTTAGGATTTATATAAATATTTTACACACTGTAAAAGCTAAGAGCTTTCTTCAAGAATGATATTTTGATGATTTTTTGTCATATGTAATCAGATGAAAAAAAATGTTACAATTTTACACTGATACTGGTTTGCTGACTCTATGCTTACAGGGATCTCCTTGGTTTTGATTCTTCAACTCATCTCCAGCCACCATAAAGAATGCAATGTGTATATACATAAAAAGAGAAATGAAAAACATATTTTATGAAACAAAAAGGTGTAAAATATTGTTGGATTATTTAATGTTAAATTTATTTAGAATTTTGAATTATGTTGACTTAAACTTGGGCTTGGGTGGGTACGGGGACGGAGATTAAAAATTTATCCGTGGACGAAAATGAGAATGAAAATTATACCTATTAATAAAAATGGACCAAAAATAGACAAAATTTTTTAAGCGAATACAAAAATAAAAATTATACCCCTCGCTCCGCCCCACTTTAGTCCGTTTGACATTCCTAACTACAACTACAACTACAACAGTACCTGTACAATGTACACAATACAAAAGAAACCAATATGGCAAACAACTAAGCAGGCGTAGGTACCAGCTACACGGACCAACGGGAATTGTGGTGCTAAACCCAAGTGTCAGTGTCGACTTCTTACTCTTGGCATTCACGAAACGCGTCATCTTCCAAAACGGCGATACTTTCCTGTTTTGCCTTTCCTGTAGCCGTTACCTCAACGAAATAAATTCACGTCACCCCCTCAAAAAGCAAAGAGCCACTACCACCTCAACAGCCAACCCACTTTCCTCTTTCCAGCACTTGCCGCAAAGGCTCAAAACCCAATAGATTCCATCCAGCCAAACACCCACATATATTATAACCCCTTTTTTTTATATTTTTTAACGGGTGGAGGTGTTTATAAGAGTGTTCGCCTTACTAGTAAGTGGAAAATATGATCTTTTGTCTTTTTACTTGATATTTTGTGAAAGAATTTTTTTTTGTCCTATCATATCCGATCAAATGTGGTATTTCTATTTGATTTTCGACCAAATTAATCGGATAGGAAGTCAGGTAAAAAATTGAATGAACACTTTTATAGTTATTAATTTTTGGATCATTTTAACAATTTAATTAAATAACATACACCAATTTAACAACACAATAAACTAATAACATTAATACCTAAAATAATTATAACAACAATTACAATAAAACACAAGAAAATATAAACATTAATCCATTATAATTATTGCACAAATACAACAACAATTATTTTAAATTTAAACTATATAATTAGGAAATTAGAGTTTTTACTTTATATATATAATGTGGATAGGGTAACGTAAGAATACGAAAATTAATGGTTATTTCGCATTCCTACTTGATTAATCGGAAGATCAAAATCTCTTCACGTCAGTATTAGAATATTTATAATGGATAAATCTCTTATGATCTAATCTCAAGAGATTGTCAAGATTCAAACTCATGACATACAAGTTTATAGTTCGCCACTATTATTACTTGAATCATCCCTTGAGCTATATTATAAGTTTCTTAATAGGTAGGGTCATTTTAAATTAAATTATATTTATAAAAAAATTAATTCATTCTCGATCTATTCATAAACATAAATTATATTAAACGAATTTGTATCATATTGAATTGAGTTTATGGGACTCATTTATATAGCAAGTTTAAAGGACCTATTCATCGATCAATCGACTCATTAAAATTCAACTCAAACTCAACTCAAACTCATTAATCGTTAAAATTCAACTCAAACTCATTAATTATGTACCTATTTTGTATATCTACTGTACCCTTACCTTTCCTCCATATAAACAACAAAATCCCCCCACATTCCCAGACCCTTAGCATGCTCTATGGTGTGCACTACACCCCACCCCACCCCACCCCACCCCACGCCATAACCATATCAATTCTCATCCGACCTCCCATGGACGGTATTTATTGATTGATTGATTCAACCTATACAAGTGTTTACCGCCGACAAAAAATGCTTGTGTCGGTATTTCTTGCCCTGTTTCTACCATGCGCCGGAATGAGCGCAGTGTTCCTAGTCTACATCTGCCTATTATGGTACGCTGCTGGTACAAACTCGGAGTTCCGGTTGCCGGAAAAGCCCACAAAAGACCAGGGTCTGTCTTCATCGGAGCTTGAGAAACTGCCGAAAATGACCGGAAAAGATTTGGTGATGGGCACGGAGTGTGCGGTTTGTTTGGATGAGATCGAAAGCGACCAGGCAGCTAGACTTATTCCCGGTTGCAACCACGGCTATCATCTACAGTGCGCCGATACATGGTTGTCCAAACACCCGGTTTGTCCCGTTTGTAGGGCCAAGCTCGATCCTCACCTCTTCGATCCTCCTGAAATCAATCCTTGCTAAAAGAGAGGCCTGTTATGTATCTACCCTTATCGTGGTTCTTTGATTTTTCTTAGCTTCTGAAATCTTTCCACATATAGCTAGGTGTTGTTCAATTGATTAGTTGTTTTTTTTTTGTTCAATGTACCTCAAGTAATCAATTTCTCTATCAAAAGTAAGTTATCTACGCTAAAACCAAAAAATTCATGAAAAATTACCAAAATTCGAACTTTACAATTCGGTAAGCTATTTCTCTTATTAGTTGTGAAAACAAGGTATAGGCTATACACCTTTCTTCTGTCTCCATCTTCTTATTTTTTTCCCTTTCTGAGGTGGATTCCCTCTTAAGGCATGGTCAAAACTCATTCATTCAGATATTTGCAATTATCTAAAAATTATGGTACCGTAACAGAAGATTTCAATGCGAGTGAAAGTCGAATTCAAGATGTTTGTGTATACGGACATGCTCCAAAATTATATATATATATATATATATATATATATATATATATATATATATATATATATATATAAATGATGAGTAAATCAACACTGTTGCACATCTCTAAAGTTTTCTCAAATTTTATATTCCAAACCAATTTGAAAGGTTAGAACAACGAATCTCATTTATTCATTCTGATGAAACTCATTTCATCTAACCATAACACAAGTATCTTGTTGCCTTTCGTGGGTGCATCATGTTAAAGACTTGAGGTTCCAGTAGAGCCTTTCCTGAGGTGAAAATATATATGTTATACACTTCTAATATCGTTCTGAGTTTTATAATAAGTTTAATGGTACTATGTATTAATGATAATGTGGTATCGTGGTTGTAATAAATATTTAATTGGATTTTACTCAAAATTAAGCATCCCTTAAGGACTTGGGCTCAATTGTCAGAAAAAGTAACACTTTGGGTGATCTAGTGGTTCCATTTAATTAAAAGAGCGTATCTAATACACAAGACTCTTATTATTGTGGAGTTTGAAGAAGGTTAAATGTGCACAATTTTACTTATGCAAATAGAAAGATTGTTTACACGATTCGAACCTGTAACTTACAGATTACAAAGAAAAAGCTTTATCGTTATGCATTGAACTTGGTTCAATTAATTTAATTATTTTAGTCAATTTTTACATATTTTGTAGGTGATTGTGGGTATTAATAAATAACTTTAAAAATACGTAATTATATTAAAAATAATGCAAAATAGGTGTCGCTTTTGTCCTAAGTCGTTTTATAAATATCTCGTGAACCTGACCTCTCGTGGGTCACAGACACCTTAGTTCAACTTCCTTTTAGTTGCCTTTGTTGTCGTTTCTGTATGTTTTGTCAAAATCAACTTAAATGAAAATATGGGAGGGTGTCCATCGGCAAAGGGCGGGTTAGGCCGCAAAATTTTTCTTGAATTAGGCCCAAGTAAGGGTAGTCCCAATCCTTTACTCGGCTGAATTATTGAGTTGGACAGGCCTTTTTATATATATACATTTTTATTTAAAAAAAAATTAACGTAATATTTTTACATTAAAAGTAAAGTCAAAATAGATAAAAAAAATAAAAAATAAATTATTTTATTTGAGAGAAAATATTTAGTATTTAAATAAATAATGAATAATACCCTAGATTACTTAGCTTAGTATTTAAATAAATAAATTTTTTTAAAAAGAATATACCACTTAACTTTCAATTGTCAATTTTTTTTCAAATAAAATGGGTAGACACAAGTTAGTTCTTGAGTCAATTTTTAACAAATTTTTGCTAGTAGACTAATGGACCAGATTTTGGACTTGGTAAAGGCCTTAGGGTAGGGTCAACTTCTCTCTTAAAGTGTATTGGGCTCTGGCTCAAACTCGGAACTAACTATCAAAACTATTTAATTTCAAATTTATTGTTTTGAGCCAAATAATGAGTCTCGTGGATTAACCTAACCCATGGGCATATCTACATAAGAGTATTTATAACTCAAATGATGGTCTTAGAATAAATGAAAATTGTTTAATATATAACTTATTATCTACACACTTAGATTTTAAGGTAAATTTGGAGTTCAAATATAACCAACCCATGATTTTTTTTTTCCATATCAAATTAATAATTTTATTTTATCTTGCAAATCCGTATAATAAAGTACAATACAATTAAAAAATAAACAAAATAATTTTTACTTTTCGCAGTTGAAATGTATTTAAATTTTATTTTAAAGTTAATCTAACGACTAATATTAACACTTCAAATTTAATAAAAAAAATATACTTTTAAAGGTGTATTTGCGGTAAATATTTAAAAGTGTTTATAGAATATAAGTACATTAAAAAAAATTAGTGTTTAAAATCGCTTCACCATCACCACTCCTACCACGCCACCACCATAACCACCATTGCCACCCCAACACCACCGCCACCCCCTAACCACCACCATCACACCCATCGCCCCACTACCATCACCCCCCCCCCCAACAACGCCATTACCATTGTCGTCCCCTTACAACCATCACCACTCCTACAACCATCACCACCACTACAACCACCACCATCATCAAACCCATTATCTATGCAACAATAACCACCACCATCATTCCCACTATCACCATTCCCATCGCCCTACCACCACCACTGTCGCCACCCCTCACCACCATTGTTGCCCACCATTACCCACCGCCACCCACTACCACAAACCCATCGCCATCTGTTGTCACCCACCATCATCGCCAGCCATTGTCACCCTCCCCCATCACACCACCCGTCATCACTCACCACTATCGTCACCTCCATTCTCACCAC